TGTGTGTCGTGGGACCCGGCGGGGGGCGGGGGGGCACTGGGCCCCTGGGCGCGCGGAGGGTGCCGGGACCCACCCGGGGTCCCGCGGGCGTCGCGGCCGGCGCGGTGTGAAGAGCGCGGGGCGGCGGCGGGAGCGGGCTCCCCGCGGGCCTGGCGCTCACAGGGCTTGCCCTCGGCTCCCTCCCCAGTCTCCAGGTTCATGGGGCCATCCGCAGGCGTGAACGTGGCCGGCATGGGGTCGCTGACGGGCATCGCCGACGCAGCCAAGACCTTGGCGCCGTTGCACGCGGCGGCGGCGGCGCCGCGAAGGAAGCGCCGCGTGCTCTTCTCGCAAGCGCAGGTCTACGAGCTGGAGCGGCGCTTCAAGCAGCAGAAGTACCTGTCGGCGCCCGAGCGCGAGCACCTGGCCAGCATGATCCACCTGACGCCCACGCAGGTCAAGATCTGGTTCCAGAACCACCGCTACAAGATGAAGCGGCAGGCCAAGGACAAGGCGGCGCAGCAGCTGCAGCAGGAGGGCGGCCTGGGGCCGCCACCGCCGCCGCCACCGTCCCCGCGCCGCGTGGCGGTGCCCGTGCTGGTCAAGGACGGCAAGCCGTGCCAGAACGGTGCCGGCACTCCGACACCCGGCCAGGCCGGACCGCAGCCGCCGGCCCCGACGCCGGCGCCCGAGCTCGAAGAGCTGTCGCCCAGCCCGCCAGCGCTGCACGGCCCGGGAGGCGGTCTGGCAGCCCTGGACGCGGCGGCAGGGGACTACGGCGGCGGCGTGCTCGGCGCCAACCTGCTCTATGGCAGGACGTGGTGACGGCGCGGGCGCCCCGGGTTGGGGTCCTGCCTGCGGTGCGGAGGTTGTGCAAGGAACTTCGAGAACGGATGGGGAAAACACACCAAAGCGGACCCTTGTGTACGCGACTATCAAAAACTAACGAATAGGTCATGGAGAGGGGCACGCTCCGGACCTCTCCGCTGGGGGTTGGGGGACCGCGACGGCCCTGGAATTGAATAATACCACGCCAGGAGACTGAAGTGGTGATTTCTTCTTTCCAGAAGTTCCTAAATTATTCGAAAGCTGGCTGTGTCTACATCCACCACGTTCCTAACCAAAGCTCTCAGAGTTTTAAAAGTAGGAAACGTTGTTGGTGTTTGTAGCTCTAAAAACCAACCCAGCTTTAACAATGAATGCTTTTTTGGAGTGGAACTTGAGAGATTAATTTTCAAAGGCCTCCCCCTTAAGTGCAATTTCATTAATGTTTGATTGAAAGTAAATTGTAGCTCAAGGTGGATCATGCACATAGCAACATTATTGCAGGGGAATCATTGCCATTTAGGTAATAGAGAAATGAAATAAAAATCAAAGCATTGCTTATATGCATTGATAACAGCTTTTTAAATTTAATGCTGATTTTAGAATGTTTTAATCGTTATTTGGCGAATTAGTGTTTCTATATTACCCTGAAAGAGGATATTTCCTTCCGTAAGATTGCAGCTCATTATAAGAAAGAAGGGTTGCAAACTACTTTTTATGTGAAATCTGGTCTCACAGATCAACTGATAAAATAAATGCACGCTATCCTTTCATAGACAAATTATTTTCTTTAAATTATTTGCTTGTCTGAATTGGAATACCTTACCAGAATACTAGAACAAGCAAGCAAATTTGCTAAAATTGACATCAATTAATCTATATTTCAAAGCATGTCAAGGAGAATAAAGTGACTTATTGAAATGTAATCAGAATGTAAAGAATAAGAAATATTTACAATCTTCCCACATCTCGAACTTAATAGGGGTTGCACACCGATCTTGTTGGTGTTTTATTGTACAAATAATGTATTTACTCTTTAATATGCCAAATTATATTTCCTATGTTTCAAATGGATATTTAAATATAACTTAAAAGAATCCGAAGTATTTTTTTTTGTAAAAGTCAAGTGGTCATTTCTTTTTCACTAAGTTGTACAGGTTTTATTTTGGTTTGGCGCTTTTTTTTTTTTTTTTTTTGCACTTTTTGGCATCACATGACAGTGCAGCTCAGTTTACTCACAATTTAAATAACTGGTATTGGAGTAAAAACACCAAAAGCAAGCTGAAGGACTTTAGTTTATATAAAATGAATGAAAATTATAACATGGATAAAGCATGATTTATAAATGATAAACAAATGGTTGCCAAAGACCCTAAAACTCCTATACATTTGAAGTTTTAGAATTAGTTTGAGGCTGAAACATTTCATTTCACTTCATTGTTCAGGTGTTTTTTCTGAATGTGCAAAGTGAATCCTATGGAAAGTGTTTTAGAAATTAAACATGCACTTTCTTTAAACTGTATTTTACATAACAAGTAATAGTAATCATAAAACTCCAGTCCCTTTGACAGAGGGGAAAAAGCAACCACTGAAGAAACAAGGGGATCAGCCTTTATCAAAAGTCTGTGAATGCATTTTTGGAAAAGAACTAATTTTTTGAAAACATTTTACATAAAAAATAATTTGAGCAGAAAATAATACTATGAAAATGGTGCAGTCACACCTACAGAAAATTCTCCCAATTTGGGCTTTTGCATATTAATTGAATTAACTTTTAAAGTGTTTGCCAAGCTAACATAACTATTTTTGATGTGCCAAGTTTCAAAATGTTTGTTTATATTGATTTGGTTTCCTCACAGTAGTACCAGAATTTTGAAATTTTACTTCCAGAAAACATGTTCCAAAAGTCCACAAGATTTGCAATATGTATATATATTTTACAGCCCAATACTTAACAATAATAGCTTATGGACTAAAGGCTCCAAGTAACAAAGAAAGTAAGTCTTCATGGACAGTTTTTCCCCCATGATATAATTTATTTCTAGAGCAAACAGTCTCTTAGACTAAGTGAACTCTGAATCGAAAACAAAAAACAGCCTTCTTTATACAGTATTTTCTGAAAGTGTATTTGCTGTAGGCGTATCTTTTTCCTTTCAGCATTGCTCTCAATAGTAAGGGAACCACTGCCAGAACTAACTGCTGCAGATGGCTTGACGTTCTACACCCAGAAATGCACTGAGTTTATGTGTGCACATCCTGAAAGTAGGATAGGGTTTGGTTCTTGAAACATTAAAATGTTTTTGAAACATGTTTTTGAAATGTTTCATGTTCTTGAAACATGAAAATGTTTTTGCTAAAGAATTCCACATTCTGATTAACGCAAAGCAAGAGCTTTTTTTCCTTCTTTTGCAATTAGTGCTTTGCAGATCTTTTATAACAACACAAATGGCCAGACTAGGTGAAACTCATTAACTGAAGAGGAGGATAAGTGTCTTCACAACCAAAAGGGAGGGCCCGCGCAGGATCTGAGTGGAACAAAGCCCCCTTAAAGTTTAGCAGAGGCCACAGCAAAACTTGGTTCCAGAAACGCTAACTGCAGATGTGGTATTTTTAAAAAATGTTTTGGGGTTGTACAACAAATTTATCTTTTCCAGTTGACACACGGAAACAAAAACCCAGAATCAAAGTTTCGGAAAGGAACAGCAGGGATTGCAGGTACTTTTTTTGTAATCTGTGTCGGGATGCAAATTGAACCACTGGGTGTGTGACAGTGCAGTGTTAGAGGACACAGGAAGGGTGTTTTGTATATGGAACTCGTGGAGGGTGTAACCCAGTTGTCTCCTATTTAAGGCTTTGCTCAGAATTAAAACCTAATGGTCAGAACAAGTAGTCAATCAGACTTTTATCAACACAGATGTTGTGTTCAAACTCCATCCTGCTATCAGTTGTTTACTTTCAATTTAAAGCAAATCAGAGAATCCTGTTCACTAAGTGCAAGCACCTTCCAAAGAGTTGCTTTGCTGGCTGCATTGAATACTGATTTAGAAAGACTTTTGGAATAAATTTGTGAACCACAATCACATAAAGACCCACGGACTGCATTGTTAGACATCGGTTTGTGCATAAAATAATGCATTATGTAGTGGCAATACAAATTTCATTTGTTCAAAGCATAAATGATGTTGCCCAACTGTTTAATGTAACACTAACGTGTGAGGACAAACCCCTGTATGTTAACTATTTCAGTCCAGTTTTTTAAAAATGCTGCTACTTCCCATGTCCAAACCCAATGAGACAGAGAGTTAGGAAACATTTTATTAAAAATTTTTTTTTGGAATAGCCTTTTACTGCTAGTGAAACTGGTGAACATCTGGAGAAGATTCAGAGAAAATGGCAGATGGGAATTGCATTCACATCCCTTCAGGAATTCCCTCTCCCTAGTAAGTATTGAGATAATTTTGTAATTTCAAGATTACTTTTATTATTTTAAAGTTGGGACGTAGTGGAAGCTTCTGGGAGAGTTTTTTTGGTTTCACTGTTTTTGCTTTATATATTTATCTGCAATTGGATAAAATGTGTACCCAAAACTGAATGAAAGACTATTTTTTAAAATCCCTTGTAACCTCTATTTCAGTCATTGTTTAAGTGACTTCTAATAAAGGTTTAACCACTAATACTGCCTAACTCTAAGTTGTGCAAACTTAGAGTTATTTTGCAGTAGTGAATAGCTCTATTCCCATTTCAAATACAAAAATCATACCATGTTCTCTTTTGGCCCTCATTCCATAAATACGAAATTTGAAACAACACAAGCAGTTAACGTTACGCTGCGTGGAGGAAAAATCCATCGAGAACGGGCGGTTGTCATTTTATTGTTGGCTGACTTTTTTCCTGGTCAGTAATAGTAGGACAGTCGATCGCCAGGAACAGTGTGGCGGGATCTCAGCTCCATGATCCTCTGGGGCGGTCGGGAAGAGGTACCGGACTAGCCGGACGGAACCAGCCAGCTTTCTGCCGTCCGGAATGGGGAGTGTTGACTCATCAGACAACGTCTAAATTTTAGATTTCTAAGTTTAGCTCACTTCGGTTATGTTCAGACTTAGAACTTAAAACTGCAGCCTTGGAAGAAGATTTCCATCATCTCTTCACGGGTCCGGTATTTGCATTCGTGCACTGAGCTGAGACGGCGAAACGAGCTGGTTGGGGAAGCTTCGGCGCCGCCTCCAGGAACCGAGGGCGGCTGCTGCTGCTGCTGCTGCTGCAATGAACCGCTCTGGGCCAGGCGGGGGCCGCGACACACAGGCCACCCTGCAGGTCGGGGGTCTGAACTTTCCCGTGCCCGCCCTGCTTGAAACGGCGGCTTGCGGGGGAGGGGAGGCGGGCCGGAGAGTGGCGGGACGGGGGACTCCGGCGGGCGGGGCCGCCAGGGCCGAGAGGAGCGGGTGGGCGCCAGGCGCGACCCCCACGTGCGCCGAGGGCCGAGCGTTCCCCCGCCCGCCAGTGCCCCGTGGGTCTGGGGGACCTTGCCTCGGAGAAGCGGCGCATCTGTTCCCGCCACGCCAGGTCCGCGGCTCCCGGGCGTCGCCTCTATCCCCGTCTGGCTGTGACGTCGCCGCGCCCCGGGGCCCTCGACGCTGTCGGAGGTGCGCCCGATCTCCAACGCGCCTGGGGGAACACCGGAGCTTGGAACCATCAGCCGCACCCCCGCCGGTCCAGACGCCCCGCGCCCTGGCAAGAACATTAACCTCTCGCTCATTACACCCAATTTGCCTTTGTAACGCCAAATGGCTAATAGTTTGTAGACGGCTTTGTATTTTAACGTGCATCACCTCATTTGATCTTTAAAGGTTAGACAACTGCGCATTAAGGGCCCTTAGCGCCACAATAAAGTCACTGTTTTCATGTTCCAAGATTTTAAGCATCTTTAATATTAGACCCTGAATTACTGTGTCTTAAAGATAATAAATTATTGAAATCTGGCCCATTAACTATTTTTACAC